TCACGTGAGTAACCCGCGGTTTTAGTTAATTTAGTATGTCTCGCGATAGTTATTAAAAAAATAGATCTAGTATCTATAATGTTTTATTTATTTATTTATTAATGTACATAAAGGACAACACATATATAAAATTGAAGTGCAAAGGTATCACCTATTCTTATAAGAATTTCTTCCTGTGGACCTGTGGCAGGAAAAGTAAGAATGATATATTTATTATTATTATTGTGATGTTAATAGGGCTTTACACCAATTACATTAACACACACACGAGAAACAATAAGAGAAATCAATCAAAGAGAATCAAACAGTTACAATAACAGAAAAATAAATGAAACACATAAATAAACATATAAGATAAATATAGTAATAAATACAAAATAGAAAATTGACATAGAGACTAGACTTAAATTGAACAGTTTATTTTATATCTATTTCGCAGAAATATGAACGTCGAGTACCGGTTTTGTAGACACAATTATAGAACAATAGGTTGCGGTCACCGGTGACCGCTTGGTGTTTGACAGTTTAAACTTAAGGTACTACTATTTCTCTAAACCGATGTGAGGTTTGCTTAGCAACCAGCAGCCGCGCTTGGAGACAGTTACGTGAATATAATTGCAGATAAAAAGAAAGAGAGTGACTGTGTATAAAATGACTGTTTTCACCAAGACCACTCTGATAGAAGAGCATAGAAAAATCTCCATTCTCGAGAATAACAAATATACTACGATAATCCTGCCAAACGTTGCAGATTGAGAGAAAGAACTATTTTACATAATCTTATAATCCACTCCATAAAATATGACGAAATTCTGAGGTTGGTATCAAGACAATTTTAATGTTATTGAAATTTAAGCAAAGAAAAAATATTGTGATTTATTGCCGACGAAATGTAGCTGAATAAAAATATGTTTAGTAGCCAAATTCTACTAGGGTAACAGCTATTTTTGACATTGTAGGTATTATCAGAGGAACCTAACGCGGTTTGTGGAAAATTTAGTTGTGAAATTGTTATAAAGTTATGCTAACATGGCTGAAGGAGTACAGACTACAGAAGTTTAGTTCATTAATAATATGTCGTTTGTTAAGACATTTGTTTTCTATGTGGTGCTTAAACGATACAAAAGATAAGTTGTACACAAATGTAATTCGTGTTCCCAGAGTCACATTAGTCACATTATTTTTAGGCCCAATAGGGCTGATGCTGATACGGAGCCGCGAAGGACTTAACGGGTTGCCGGGGCTCCGGCTCAAAGTGCAGGAGTAGGAACGGGGTGGTTTTTAGTCAGTAAGAGTCTGACATTCCTTCTCGCCTCACCCGGGCGAGAGAAGTCATTGGATGATTTCCCCTCTAGAAAATAAAGACATGGAATGTTGTGAACAATTAAGATAATAAATAACAACAACATATCCGCACACCATGCACTGTGCACATACATAATTTTAGATATAGTAAATTTTTCTGGTAGTACCTAAATGTATTTTCAAATAATTAAATTGTTGGAGAATGGAAGAAAAATTGTGATTGTTATATGGAATTTAGAATCGAGTGTATTTGAATTTCTTCTGTACTGGCGGCGTAACTGGTAAAGTTGACTTCGAACTGCGACATGATATGTTTAATTTATAAAATTTATATCTTTGATTAGATTAAACAGTCACTCCAAACGTGGCAATCGAACCCTAACTCGTGTTTAACAATCACATGAGACCATTATTACATAAATCTTCAATTCTACATTATTATAAACAAAAAAAAAGAATTTTGCCTGTGAATTCATCTCTATTGTGACGTATTCAAACTATTTTACAAGAAACAGATTTCTTTAAAGTTTCTCTGAAAAATTACAGCTGCTGTAATACTTTTGATGCTCTCTCTTGTCAGATCTGAAGCTGAAAACTTTGATTAATAAACTTATTATCCCCTAGATTTGAATAACAATAAGCTAAAGAAAAAATCGATGTTATGAATTATATTTTATTTTTGTGTATAACTAGGTTTTTTAAATATACATATTTTTATTGTTAGACGTCATATTTTATAAGTTTTATGAGATTGTATTTTTAGAAATCTTGACATGAATGACTACTAGCATAGCATCGCTTTCATGATAGACTGATTGACTCGTCAGTTGAGTAATCGTGTGTGTGGCTGCCAACCAAGATGCTTCAAATTCGAGTATCTGCAACTGAGAAACGTGTTATTTGTTAGTTAAAGTTTAAAATGACCAGTAGTGTAAATTATAGTCAGCAATTAAACTTCTAGGCTAGTAAAACTCGGAGCTGCGGTGACGACTTCGGAGCTGCGGACAACCGACGCCGGAGCTGTGCACGACCTAGTGAATTACCGGGGCTCCGGCTCGAAGCAAGAGTAGGAAAAGGGAGTTTTTATAGTCAATAAGGATTGACGTTCTCTCTCACTTCACCCAAGGCGGGAGAATGGGGATGACCCATTCCCCCTTCAAAAAAAAAAAACTAATAAAAATAGATATAAGTTACAATCATAACACAAACGACTTACTAGTTGGCGTTAACAAATTCGTTTTAATAACAAAGTTTAAAGACGTCGAAGTCGGGTCTTCAAGTTTCAGGAAAAGCTGAAATATTCCTGAAATAAAGCTATCAGCCATAGATCATTGGCGAACAGATACATTATAACCTACTTTCCTCAATTGACTCACATCCGTTCGCGTGACTCTTCTAATGTATTTCTGTCTCCGTTTAGCAGAGGACAGTAATGTCATTGGACACTTCACGATCGCGTTGGATGGAAATATATTAGCAAGCAGTCTTGTGTTTAATTCCCAGGTCGAAAAGACTATTAAGCTTTTCAGTTTGTCGGAATTTCTCGTAAGATATGGTAACCTCAACCAGGTCGAGGTCAATCTCGCTATATTTTTTTCTATGGCATAAGCCGGTAAACGAGCAGTCGGATCACCTGATGGTAAGCAATCGGCGTCGCCCATGGACACCTGGAACACCAGAAGCGTTACGAGTGCGTTATCAGCCTTTTGGGGATTAGGAGTTTGAGGATCGTTGGAGATTCAAGTTGGGCCTCCGGTAACCTCACTCACACCACGAAACACAACGTGAGCGTTGCTTCACGTTGGTTTTCTGTGAGGCCGTGATATCACTCCGGTCGAGCCGACCTATTCCTTTTAACCGACTTCAAAAAAGGAGGAGGTTCTCAATACGACCGTATAGGTATATTATGCTTTTTTATGTTTGTTAGAAAATTTTGACGATTTTTCACAACGCAAGAATTACTGCTGACCAAAGAGATTTTTTTATGACAGATATTTAGTAACTATAATTAATAATACATTCATAATCTGTCTCATCATATGATTACAAACTTTCTACCATGCAGACCCGAGTTGAACTCAAACAAAAATAGCCCTTACATATATCAACCTTAATGACTAATTTGAAAGAAACAGCTTGTCAATTATATTCTTGGTTGCCATCCAAATGCTTAATGAACATTATCATTGTTGTTCGTCTAATACTTTATCTCGTAAAAACGTCCATGTCAATGGTTCAGGCTGTTAGATGAGGTGTTATGTTATGATAGGTTTATTGCAGGGTGCTAATTAGAAATAATTATTAGTTTATCTATTGTAGAAGTTAAACGATTGTCTTGTTGAGAAAATATGACCTTAGGTTAGTAACTCTGATGACAGGGTATGAAAATTAAAAATATAATTAGTCCGTAAGTTAGGTAATTAAAAAAATAATAGACACGTATTATTTTGTCGTATAATAAAACCACAAATTAAAAAATACGTGTCTAATATTTTTTCATTATCTAACTGATGGGCAAGTTTGAAACGTCAGTAATTTAATTGTCCGTCCGTCCGTCCGTCTGTCAGTAAAGCTAGGCGCTCGTTCTAAAGTGTAGTTTAACGTGAGTTTGAAATCCCTTAGTCGATGGGAAGATTAGTGATGGTGATAAAATATATTTTCTACAGTCACCACCATGGCATTAACCATTAATCTCTATGGCCTCAAATCGATCGAAGTTAAACGATTGAACTATTGTGACTATTTAAAATCGACAAAATAATTTACTTCTCTCTACCTACCTCCATGACTTGAAACATTCTTAAGATCTGTACCCACAAAATTTTAACAAAGTAACTGATAAAAATACCGCATTTCAAAATTAAATGTATTGATGATTTACTCAATGTCATGTTCTCGAACTACAAACGAAAGTAGGTCGTCACCACGAGTTATTTAGGTACAATCATAATAACAGGTAACAACTACACATCAAGTTAAGCATATCCAATCTATCATGGTCTGGCTTCGTATGATCTTTCCATACATTTGACGAGTCAGTTTATACTGGTTACTCGTACTTTCATGCGTAGCTATAACAACCAGTTTATCATGACCTAGCTTTGTATGACCTTGCCGTACATTTGACAGTCAATTAATACTGGTGAAATGTAATTCGATGTACGTACACACGTTGCTAAATGTGATTCGAGTAGGGAGTATTGTAGCCATCTTGTATTTTATTGAATCATATTTTACAGGTTTAATCTTCTGTGTAGGTACCAGTTTAATGCTTGAAAAGCTTGAAAATGCTAGTGTTATTATGATTTGTGTTTTGTACAGGGCTGGTTAAATTTGGGTGTAGCTACATCCAAATTTAACCTTTTTTAACCTTTCATTTTTTTGCGTCTTTCTGTAAAGGACGGGAAATAAAAAGTTGGCACTTTAATAGTTGGCATTATTCTATTCTAATCTTTAAATGAATGACCAAAAGAGCCTGTTTAGTACAATTGCAGTTCTTAATCTAGAGTGCCACTAAACCTGAAAGAGGATTTTGTCATACGTACTGCATATTTCCAGAAAAATATATTATTCACCAGATCAACGACCCTCGCATATCACACTTTATTACATTACGTAGAATTAAAACTCCTCGCTGACTGGTCGTGACTCAATCTTTTACCTGACAGAAAAAAGTAAGCCCGCTGTCAAATGACTCTTCATTAATGTCATGTCTAAATTATTTAATATAGTTTCTTGTACAATATTTTTATAGAAAAAGACCAAAAAAATACATAAAAAATCATGTGAACCTAAAGGAAATACTACTATGATAACTCTCAGAGGAGTGATACTTGTTATGTTGAGAAGTGCCTTCATTGTTGCATTCCTCAGCATTCCTAACCCCATTGTGGCTTTCACGGGCTTCAAGAATTGGTCCAGAAGGGCAATATACCATAAAATCGACCTTTGCACTCAAGCTTGCTACAGTCAGATAATCCCTGGCCTCTACCTCAGCAATGCAAGAGCAGCCGCCGACAAAAATGTTCTCAGACGCCTCAATATCACCCACGTGCTCACGATTGAAGCACATCGCCTTCCAAAATCCACTTTTACAGATACCGACATCAGCACACTCTTCATTAGGGCCTACGACACTCCTCAAACCCATCTCCTGCCCTACTTCCCTATGGCCAACGCTTTCATCGATGAAGGACTGCAGAAGGGAAACGTGTTGGTGCACTGCCATTTCGGAGTATCCCGGTCCGCCACGCTCGTCATCGCCTATATCATGGAGAAGTACAAGCTGACGTTTGAGCAGGCATTCGTGTATGTACGACAAAGGCGGAGGTTCATAAACCCAAACCCGGGGTTTGTCAGCCAGTTGCGGGAGTACCAGAGACTGAATTACGACGTGAATGGATTCTACAGGTTCGAAGCGTATATGAACGTGAATGCCCGAAAGCATAAATATAAAATAGCTTCCCTTGCCGCCGTCGTCGTGGGCATCCTCGTACCCCTTGCTGTGTTAGTCGGTTAAATTCACGTGGTAAGTCAGTTTTCACAAAAAAAGTGTTAAGGTCTTTGTAGAAACGGAATAAAAGTTAAACTAAAACACAAGACTTGGATTTTTATTGCTTAAATAAGTCATCTTCAACAGCCTATAAATGCCCACTGCTGAGCAAAGCCTCTTCTCACACGGAGAAGGCTAAAGCATTAATCACCACGCTTGTTCAATGCGGTTTGGTGATTTCAAACTTATTATTAGAAATTTATAAGCCTAGGTTTCCTCAAGATGTTTTCCTTCCCCGTTTGTCAGTGGTGTCTGAATAAACTTAGAAAGTACATATAACTCGGAAAAAGTCACATTGGTACTTGCCGTTGGTAGGTTTTGAACCCACACCCTCATGCATGAGAAATAGGCGTCTTAAACCACCGGGCCACCACGAGCTAAATAACTCAGTAGGTACCTAAACCTGAAAGTTCACCAATTTAATATATGATGTTGGAATAACTATAAAATTTCAGCAAACACATTTTACTTGTGTAAAATTGATAATTCTTTCAGCGTCTTTTACACGGCTGAAGATATTTTTGGTTCCAACTGTTATTGGACGCGTAAACTATAAATTATTGAAATCACGCGCCGCGCCGTCAACTCACGCGCACGCAGGAAGTGCAATATTTATACGATATTCTTTCTATTGAGCGCGAAATTGAAAATATCATATTGTGATAAATAAATAGCTAAAGAGGTGGTTTTGTTAATGAATTTATTTATGAATGGTATGTTTTTTTACTTGTTTTTTTTTGTTTTCAATGGTTTTATAGTATAAATTTTTTATGTCTCCACCATCATTGAAACAGACAAGCAGACTGATAGTCGCGGAGAACCTAACGGGTAACCGGGGCTCCTGTTCGACGTGCAGGAGAAAAAACGGGGTGATTTTTAGTCAGTAAGAGTCTGACACTCCCTCCCGCCTCACCCAGGCGGGAGTACTCCCGCCTGCTGAATGACTGCTCATTCGATGATTTCCCCCCCTTAAAAAAAAGCAGACTGATAGCATATCTTGACTGTATTAGGGTTATTGAAAATGTAAGTGCAGATTACAATTTTCTTTTAGACTTATTAATAATACAATATCTTACAATTACTTGATGTTAAGTTTGAAAAGAAAGAAAGATGTCAATGATAATCAAATCCCCATCACATGACCACAGCAGCTAATATCCTAGCTACCGTGCCAATCTTAATATCTCCATAGGAAATTATTGCGCAATATTACACTATGATTTTAAAATTACGTTAGTAGGCGCCATTTCGAAAACTTTATCAGAGCAGTGTGTGTACAATAATTTGCTGTAGTTAATAGGTAGTGCCAAGAGGAGCGAATGTACAGCCATTTAATTCGTATTTATCGTACATTAGCATTTACCCGTGGCTTTACCCGCAAGAATTAGTCTATGTTCTTCTCTGTCCTGTAATACTCAAACCCCAAATTTTAAGAGGTATAGTTGAGAGTAAGTCAATTTTAAAATTGTTTTAAGAGCGGCTAATCAGCGGGCTGATCTGGTGATCGCAACATATACAGATACTTATGTATCTCAATCTTCCTCATGCCTGTCTCTGACGGGAGTAGGACGAGACCCGTAACATCAGAAGAGTTATGATGATGCATTGCCAGTCTTTCGGAGATTAGAGTTTGGGGACAGAAGATTTCAGGATGGAGGAGAATTTATAAGGAAAAGAAACATTTATTTTGTATAAGCATTCCCAAGTGAAGACACCTGTATCATATATAGAAGTAACAAACATACAAACTTAGGTACTATCACGTTTATAAATTCTAGTTGGGATTACATTAGCTATCGTTACATTAAATGTGCGAAATTTTTGAGAGCACTAGGTTTCTTTTCTACCCACTAGTCTAGCGAGATACTCGTGGGCACAGCTGATATTTTTGGGTTTTAAAAGTAGATAATGTATCAACATAGATAATGTAACACATAATCTTGGATACCCACTCACCTACTTTAAAAATACGGTATGTCACATATTATTTGCCTAATGCAAGACAGAGTAGCAGATGTTTAATATCAAGCACTTTTTGCTAGTTATCATAATTACGTTATGAGTTTCTTTTAACAAAAAAACAATTCAGTAGCAAACGCCGGACGCAATAAATCTAGACATTGTGTCATTTTTATGAATTAAAAATACTAAATATTCAAAACTGACTGTCTCGTTGGCCGAGTAGTCGCAAGTGCCAGGTAAGGGGTATCGGGTTCGAATCGCGGGTCGGGCAAGCTATTACTATACACTATACATACATAGATACCACCATCTATAGTATCTATTCCCGTGAAGTTTCAGTGATTAAAACTCCAATTGAATTCCAATCAAATAGGTACAGCGGTTGAAAACTATTAGGCGACGTAATATTAATAAGAAAAGTGAGATACGATTTTGTCCATAATAATGTACAACCTGGGTGCCTTCAAGGCCCGACTGAACAGGTTGCTTATGGCAGACGTGCTCCATCGTAGACCACAATTTCGCTTACCACCAGGTGAAATAGCGATCAAATAAAGGCCCATGTTATATGAAAAATGTGTTTGTAGTATCTCCTTATGACTAGCTACTTCTTAGCGAGGTATGTCTTAAAGAGGTATGTAAGAATCGTAGTAATTGGCGTTCCTTGGTCTCTGCCTACCCCCATGGGAGACAGGCGCGAAGTTATGCATGTATGTAGCTACTTCCGCGCGGTTTCACACGCTCTGCTCAGCTCCTATTGGTCGTAGAGTGATGTTTTATAACCTATATCCATCCTTGATAAATGCGCTATCGAACACAAAAAGAGTTATTCAAATCAGATTCGTAGTTACGGAGATTAGCGCGTTCAAACAAACAAACAAAAAGAAAACTCCTCCGCTTTATATAAGAGTATAAGATGATCAAGTAAGACGATAGTGAACCTCAACTCAAATCTCTGATATTAGCGGTCTACCATACATACTATCGGAGTAAGTATAGGCCATGGAACGCTAATTGTTACAATACATCCACCCCTAAGAAGACCCACTAACCCTGGTCGATATATGTCCGTCCAAAGGCGCCCTCTACCGATTTATATCCACTCTGTATACCTATTACTTTCGTAAATCTGCTTTCATCCATCATTTCTACAGCAGTGGCCCACCTATCTTGAGTGTTAATATCTACCAAAAAATTCATTACCCTTTTCTCAATTTCACAATTGAAATCATTTCTTCAACTAAAAACTAAAACAGTACTTTACTCAACTTTCAAAGCTAACAATTCATTATTATAAATCCATACAGTGAATAAGAGATGAGAACATAGCGTAGAGTTGCAAAGCTACTAGACAACACCTGCGACCTCTATGTATATTTAGCTGGACAGAAATAATTCGCCAATTAATGCACAGACACACGGCGATAACAAACGAACGAACGAAACTTTCTGTTTTCAAGGTTCGTTTCTTGATTTCTTTATAATATTTTCTTCTTTAAACGTTTTCTTGTGTAAAATTTGAAAATAAGTCAATCCTTTATTAAACGAAAGTGTATTTTATAGCTTTCTTTTACGGTACAATGTGAAGCGACTAAGTATAGTACGATTTTTGGGTTTGGTTCTGAAAGTTAGTAAAATTGAGAGTGATGTAAACACAATGGGGATGATGACAGGGTATGAAAATTAAAAATATAATTAGTCCGTAACTTAGGTAATAAAAAAATATTAGACACGTATTTTTTAATTTTGTTGTATAATAAAACAATACTTAGATAAAACGAATCAAAGTTTTGGAGTGGGGGCTAAAACGTCAATTCTTAGTATAAAATGTACTGAGAAGTGACGTCACGCGACATTTCAAATCAATATATCTTCGAAACTATTCGTTTCCGTAAGAAAATAAAAAATACGTGTCTAATGTTTTTAAATAATCTACCAGACGGACATTAAAATAAAAATTAGTCGTCTACCCTATTATTGAGAATTATTTGAGAGAAAATCAAATGAAATTATTGTCTCAACTATAGGTAACACAGATACCACAAAGTCTGAAGACAAAACGTCTTTAACGAGTGCGTCTTACCAGTAATGACATACGGAGCCGAAACGTGGATACTGATAGAACGACTGGTCCACCAATTTTAGGTCACGCAGTGAGCAATGGAGAGGGCTATGCTTGGAGTCTCTTTGAAGGATCAGACAGCGAACCAAAGTCAACATAGCCCAAAGGATTAATACGCTGAAGTGGCAGTGGGCCGATCACATTTGTCGAAGAACCGATAACCGTTGGAATAAACGTTTTTTAGAGTGGAGACCACGTCTAGACAAACGCAGTGTAAGGCGCCCTCCAGCTAATTGGAGTGACGACATCCGCAAGGTGGCTGGTATGGTAGTGGTTGGATGAGAAGAGCTGAAGACCGAGCTCAGTGGCGTGCCATTTGAGAGGCTTATGTCCAGCAGTGGACGAACACGGGCTGATGATAATGATATATAACTGCTATGCATACGCATTCACTTAGACATCTACTAGACTTAAATCAAATGAGTGAATAGCAAAATCAGTACTTGCCAGGGGAGAGACGCTAATATTTGATAAATTGTGGCAAAATTTATATCGACCTCATACCAACTTGTTAACTCTTTTCTTAACTTTTATTAACTTCGACAGGTGCTACAGATATGTGACCAAAAATTACAATAGGGTAACATAACCGCACTTAATTCTGTAAATAACAATCTAAAATTAGTTGTACTGTCAGTTAGTACACTTATGCCAAACTCTCTAGTTCATTTACATCGATAGGTGATTAATCAAGTATTAATAGTTAGTATTGAAATAAAACGTTGAGTTCTGCCAAGTTAAAATGGACTCTCTTGTAAATATTGAGACAATCAACAGAATGGTACACGGAAGTGTAACATGGGGTTCTTCAAGAGGGGAGTGAATAGGTTTTTTAAGGGTCGGAAAGGCGCATGTAATGTGATGCAAGCGTACATAGTCCACGATAATCTCTTACCATCAGGTGGGCCGTTTGCTTTTTTGCCACTGTCGTGGTATAAAAAAAAATAACAAGA